GGCCCCACTGCTGATGCCGGCTGCCCCCTCTCCGCAGTCAAGGAGAAGCTGCGCCTGGACCCCGACAGCGAGATCGCCACCACCGGCGTGCGCGTCTCCCTCATCTGCCCGGTGAGTCGCGGCGTGCGGCCCCACCCGCCCGTTGCGGCCGGGGCGGCTGTGTGGCCCCGCTCACGTGCCCCTCCCCGCAGCTGGTGAAGATGCGGCTGTCCGTGCCGTGCCGGGCGGAGACCTGCGCCCACCTGCAGTGCTTCGACGCCGTCTTCTACCTCCAGATGAACGAGAAGAAGCCCACCTGGATGTGCCCCGTGTGCGACAAGCCCGCCCCCTATGACCAGCTCATCATCGATGGGTGAGTGGCGGGGTGCACGGGGACCGCCCTGCCTGTGGGGCTGCGCAGGGCTTGGCCCTTTACTTCTGTGGCTCCTGACTACCTGGGGTCACCAAGCTGCCCAGCAGCAAGTGCCCTTGGGCAGCCCCGGGTTACAGAGAGAGGTGTGTCGTCCCTGCAGGACTTCTCGGGGCCTTTGCTGTGCGGGCAGTGGCAGTGTGGCTTAGGGTTCAGAAGGGGTCTCTGGACCCTGGAGGTCCATGGGGCTCCCGTATGACTGTGCGCTCTTGGAGTCGTCTTTTCCCACATAAAATGGGGACTCCAGAGCCCCAGCCTCAAGGTCGCTGCGCGAGCCAGGGAGCCGCTTCCCAGCAGGCGTTGAGCACAGCCTTAGTCACGCTTTCCGTGTAGAAAGGTCAAAAGGACACACGTCTCCCCCAAGTTCTGGTCGCGTCCCGCTTGTCCCCTTCCTAGGGGCCCTGGCCTATGGCCAGGCTGTCCCCACAGCCCGACCAGCAGGCCCTCCCCGTGCCACAGGGAACCGAGGGGAAAAGGCTCTTCTCTCCGGAAGGGAGGCTGTTCGGGTCTTAGGTTTCCAGAAACTGAGCCGAGCACCTGACTGACCAGCTCCCGCCAGGCGCTGGCCACACCCGCCTCCTGTCCCCAGCGCCAGGCGGGGGCGAGGGAGGTAGTGGCCCAGGCAGGAGTGGGCATGCGGGCAGCCACACCCTGGACCCCCAGCCTGTGCAGGCGGACATCCGGCAGGGGCCATGTGCGTCTGGGGACGGGATGGGCCCGACCTGCAGGGCTGGTGTGAATTTGTCCCCACCAGTGAGCACTGGTCTCCGTCCTGTCACCGAACTCAGGGTCCTGCCAAGCCCTCCCTCCCAGCCGTCCCGGCAGGTGGGCCTGGATCATCTCCACCTTACAGATGAGGAAGCTGAGACTCAGAAGGGACAGACGCCAGCCTCCGGCGCCCCTAGCTCATAGGGGGCCGGGATGGGAACCCAGGCCTAGCCAGCTCTGAGCCCAGGCCCCTCCCTTGTGGGCCCAAGCAGGGCGGCCCCGGGTGGAGTGAGGAGGCCCCTGGGGCCGGGCATGAGGGCTGGCCTGAATGGCGTCCCTGTCCCCGGCCTGGCAGCACGGCGCCATCCTCCCCCCAGGCCTCGAGCAGGTCCCTGAGGCGAGGCAAGGCTGGCCACAGCGATGACGGCTCCAGGTGCAGCTGGCACTGGAGAGTGTGGCTGTGCCCCCCACAGACCAACATACCACATGCCCCTGGGGCCTTGGTATAGCCGGGGAGCCTCCCTGGAGGAAGAGTCCTTGATTCATACTTTTATTTCTTGAGGTTTTGCCACCTTGTCATCCCTGGCCCTGAGCTGGTGATCCAGGGGTCCCCAAAAGGACCCAGTCCCAGATCCCACGCCAGGAGCTCCCACTAGGCGTGGGGGTTGGGGGTAACTGAGCCAGACGCACACCTTCCTGTTGCTTGGGCCGCGCATAGAGAGGAAGAGGAGCTGTCAACTGGGGCTTTGGAGAGCGAATAGGAGTTTTCCAGGGGGGGGTAAGCATGTTGCAGGCAGAGCTGTGTTCTCACCACGGTGACCCTGGGCTGGGGGTCTGAGTGGTGATGGAGAAGTCTCAGGGTGGGTGGGAGCCAGAGGGTGTCTGGAGCAGGACAGGGTCTCTCTTCTCCGTGACTGACTGAGGTGGTTGAAGGCACCTGGAGACAGGTGTGGCTCTGATGTTGAGCAGATGCTGGGGATGAGGTGGGCCTGGGGCCACTGTGGCCAGTGTGTCCCCTGTGCCAGGCCTGGCCTGGCATGGACACGTGGCCGCTCCTTGGATCCCGTGGGCGTGGCGCTCACCTCGTCCTGCAGGTGGGGAGACTGAGGCCCCGAGGCCAGGCAGTGGCGGGGGGCAGGCCGGGAACCCAGGCGTGCTGCCGCCTGGCCTTGTGGCCTCGGAGAGCTCACGCCTCCTCCTCAGGCCTCAGTTTCTCCATCTGAAATGGGTTGGGCTGGCTGTACATGGCAGAACGGGGCCCAGGCCTATTGCCGTGGGCGCTCTGTTGGGGACGCCGTCGTCTGTGTGGGAGTGAGGGGGCCCCCCTTCTGCTCTGCCCCACTCGGGCCACATGCGCCTGCCCTCCGAGCCTCAGTTTCTTCATGTGTACTGATAGGGGCAGCACAGACTCGAGGTGGGAGCTTGGGCAGCTCAGTTAGGGGCCGGAGAGCTGGACTGTCCTGCGGCGCCCCCAGGCCCCTGCTCTTGAGCAGTTGGAGGGACGCCACACGCTCTCTGTGCTCGCAGCCAGCTGTCACCGCATTAGGAGTGTAGACCTGCAGGCCCCCGAGCGATGTGGCGGACCCTCGGGGCCCAGAACGTGCAGGCCCCAGCAGCCCGGGTCCTCAGGCCGCCAGGCCTGGCCGTGCTTCCTGGAGCCACTTGTGCAGACGGGAGGGCAGCTTAGTGAGCGCCCACAGAACCTCGGGGAGCAGGGTGGGGACAGGGAGCACCCGGCCCAGGAGTCAGCCCTGCTCGCCCCCCAGGCTCCTCTCCAAGATCCTGAGCGAGTGCAAGGACGCTGACGAGATCGAGTACCTGGTGGACGGCTCGTGGTGCCCAATCCGCGCCGAGCGGGAGCACAGCTGCAGCCCCCACTGCCCCATCCTCGTGCTCGGTGAGTCCGCCAGGCCCCCGGTGCCCCAGCCAGCACGGCTCTCCCTGAATCCCTGCTCCATGGGGTTTGCAGTTTCTGAGTGTCTGTGTCCTGCCGTGTGGAGGTGGCACAGTTATCGAGCGCTTGCCATTGCCAGGCCCTGTACAGGGTGCTGGGGACCCAGTGGCGTCAGGCCCAGCTTGGCCTGTCTTCTGGGGCCTGCCACGTGATGAGGAGGACAAGGTGTCCTAGGGCCCCCCTGCCCCGCGCTGGCCTCAGTCTCCCCCTCTGAGTCAGCAGCTGTCCTGAGCGTCTGTCCCTCTCACCCGCAGGCACCTCAGATGCCAACGGGCTCCTGTCCACCCCCAGTGTCAACGGCAGTGCAGTGCTTGGGGGCACCGGCAGTGGTCCCGGTGTGGTGGGCGGTGTGGAGAATGGGAAGCCAGGAGCCGACGTGGTGGACCTCACGCTGGACAGCTCATCCTCCTCGGAGGAAGAGGAGGAGGAGGAGGAGGAGGACGAAGATGAGGACGAGGAGGGCCCCCGGCCCAAGCGCCGCTGCCCCTTCCCGAAGGGCCTGGTGTCGGCCTGCTGACCGCTCGCCGCCGGCCGGACACTCGACTTTCCTGGTGCTCACCACGCGGCGGGGCGCAGGCAGGCCTCGGGTACAGCGGGAGGAGTGAGATATTTTTCTTCTTTTTATTGTTCATTTTGTTTTTCCACCCAAACTTTCCCCGACTCCTGGCACCTGTACCTCTGGACTCTCCTATCGGAGGATTAAAAAAAAAAAAGTAAAATGACAAAAAAAAAAAAGTACAAAAGAAATGCAACAAGCAAACAAAAAAAATCAAACTCTTAACAAACAGGGCAAGCCACCCACACAGCTGCTTCCCCAGCCGGAGTCAGAGCCCCGAAGACTGAGCTGACCCTGGGAAGGGGCGGGCGGGACCCAGGAAGCCGCGCCCCCCGACGCCCGCCCTGCCTTCCGATGACCATTCCAGCCGGTGCAGAGGGACCCAGGCCGGGCGGGGCGGTGGGGGCAGCTGGGAAGCCAGCCCGCCGTGTGCCCCCTCCCTGGCGGCAACCGCGACTTTGACATTCGTCTGTTCCTTTCCTTTTTTCCTCTCTGCGAACGTGTCCTCTCACCCAGGGACCCTGGAGCGTGCCGCCGAGCAGCAAGCATTTTAGCCAAGAAGCCATGGAGTGGGTTGGGGCGGGGAGGGGGGTGGCGGGGGCACGGGTGGGGCGGCAGGGGGTGGGGGAGGGTGGGGCTGGGAGGGTTCAGCCACAGATGTGTTGTATTTTTTGAAAGTGCAATAACTTGGTATTTTGAAGACCCGGCATGTGGCCAGGACCCCCTGCGGGAGGTGGGGGCCCCAGAGTGTGGCACCGTGTGGCGTTGGGGGGGGGGGGTGTCTCAGTTTTCTAGCCAGCTACCTCGGTAACTCCAATTCAGGTTAATTTCCCTACGGAACAGCGCAGATCCCACAGATGCCACCGGCCCCTCGCTCAGCGGGGCAGGGAGGGCGTCCACTTCCCAAGGGGCGGCAGGGCCCCCCGCCCCGGCCTCTCTATTTGGGGTGGTTCCTTGCCCCTCTTCTTGCTCTTGGGTTTTCCAACGGGTATGAGGCCTGCCCGGCACCCCCTCCCCGGGAGCCCCTCTCGTCTTCCAACAGGCCCCGGGCAGGGGCTGCCCTTTGGCTCCCAGGCACCCAGCCCGGCTTAGGGGGCCAGGGACCCCTGAGCTCCCACAGCTGCCCCAGATGTCTCCAGGGACCCGTGGCCGCGTGCCCGCCCCCTGCCCAGCATCCTTGGCCCCGCCCCCCCCCACCGACCATGCTTGGTTCTCCAAACCACCTCTGCCCACCGTTCGGTCTTTGCTTTTGATTCCTTACCCCCACCCCACTCTGCCCAGCCCCAGAATAATTTCCCTTTGTATAAACAGAACTCTCCTAGTCAGGAAGCAATATCCTTTCAGGTCTAAAGAAGAAAGGGACAGCAATCTGGTCGAGGGCAAATTCAGTTTTACTGTATAAACTCAGTCGCGCAGTTCGGCCCCCTCCACCTGCACTGGCAGCTGAGGGCCGCTGTTTTCTAATATTTGTATTCTAATTTAATTGTTTTTAAAAAACGCAAATAAAAAAAGATCAAGGTGAAGCCACTGAGGCGTCTGCTTCTCTGTGCGTCGGGGCGTCGCTGGGGTGAGGGGAGCAAAGGACTGCGGCTCTGTCCCGTGCCCACTTCCTCCCTTTGGCTGTGTGACGTCCAGGATTCAAAAGGCACAGCGTTTGGTCCAATGAGGAAGATGTCACTTGAAACTGCTGGGTCTGGTGTCTCTGCTGGGCTGGGCCAGGAATTCAGACAGCCTCGAATTCTAGGATTGTTCCTGTCCCCCCGGGTGGCCCAGAAGACACACAGATGGCCAATAAGCTCCTAGAAAGATGCTTGACATCATTAGTCACCAGGGAAATGCAAGTCATAACCACGAGCTAGCGCCCCACCCCACCAGGACGGTGGAATCAAGACAACGGCAAGCGCTGGCGAGGACGGGAGAAACCGGAACCCTCGCGAACGGCTGGCGGGAACGTGAGCCGCTTGGAAAGAGTCTGGCGGTTCCTCAAAAGGTGAAACGTGGAGTTACCGTCTGACCCAGCAGGTCCACTCGTGGGAGAAATTTCACTCCGGAGACATGAAAACATAGGGTCATAGAAAACTTGTGCACATGTCTTCATAGCAGCATCATTCACAATAGCCAAAATATCCTCAAATAGTGGATCCATACAGCTACACACTGGAATATGACGCAGCTGTGAAGAGGGGCGAGGCCCCCACACAGCCGCACGTGGACGGACCTTGAACACATGATGCTCGGGGAGAGAAGCAGACAGAAGGACACATGGTGTGTGATCCCATTGACATGAAATGTCCAGAACAGGCAGATCCACAGACAGAAAGTGGGTTCGTGGTAGTTGGGGGCTGGGGAGGGGACGGGGGTGACTGCTGGTAGGGACGGGGCTTCTTTTTTGGGGCGATGGAATGTTCTGGAACTAGATATTGGTGATGGTTGCGCAACTCTTCGAATATGCTAAAACCAGTGGTTTTACCAGGCTGGATTGTGTGTGAATAATACCTCGATTAAAACCCAGAGGGTCTCTCCCTCTTAGCACAGGGGACATGGGGACGTGAGCGAGGAGGTCCCCATGGGCTGAGTGGCTGTCAAACCCGCTTCCTTCGCCGTCCTGATCAGAGGCCTCTGCGCACCCTCGTGGCTAGCCCCGCCACCCCCAACAGCCCAAGGTGGAGACTTGGGTTCGAATCCCGTGTCTGCAGCCACGTGACAGGTAAGGGACCCACCCACACACACCCCCAGAGCCGTCACCCCGTGTCACTCCACAGAGCCCCGCTCGTCCTCTCCCAGGCTGTGCCGTGACCATCTATGCCCTCCCTCACCCACCCCCACCCTGGACCCTGCTGGCCTGAGTCCGACTGGGGGCCCCTGGAAATGGCCACGTTTGGTGACCCTCCAACCCACAGGAGGGGGCCTCAGCCATGACCCCCCGTCCCAGTGAGTGGCCCCCGGCCTGACTTCCTCCCGGGGGGTGTAGCAGCAGCCAGCTCGGAGGCCCGATCCCACGTCACCGGGGCTCGGCATGGGGCGGCCCCATGGGGGCCTCTGGCAGACTTGGGGTTTCCCGGCCAAGGCCACCTGCCCAGGGCCCCTAAAAACCCTGGAGCTGGTGACCGAGGAGCCCACCTGCACCCCTGCCCCCACCTGCGCCGTCCGTCCCTGGGGCCCCTGCTGGCGCTCGGGGCCGTGGGCCACCTCCTCCGTGGGCGACCTGCCGCCGAGTCAGCGCGTCCACCCCCTGCCCCAGGCCTGGCGGAAGGGTCAGGCTGAGCTTCGGGACCTCTCCCCAGAACCCAAGCAGGGGGTCGCGAGCCGTGTGGACGAGGGGCCCCCCAAACCCACCCTCCCCGCTCCCCAGCGCACCCCCCCAAACAAAACACAAAGAACGTCGAAATCAGGCAAGTGAGGCAGCAGCGGTCCTAACAGGCTGTGTTTAGTGGCTTATGTACAAGAAAAGTCATTTTTTTTGTCTGTTTTTTCATCATGTTTTGTCTTTTTGTTTTTTTTTTTATTACTTTTAAAGCTTCTCCCCCCCACCCCCAAAAAGTGCATTTTTATCCATTTTTTTTTAATCTCCCACACGTTTATAAAGACTCTCAGATACAGTCTATGGAATGTCTGCTCTGTGCTCTGTGCCCCCCGCGGGCGCCGCCCCCACCCCCGCTCGCCAGGCCTGGCCCCCCAAAGTCCAAGGCACCTCGTGTCTGGGCCGGGCAGGGGCAGGCTGGGCCTCGAGACCCCCAGTCGCAGCCTCCAGGCAGCCCCGGCCACGGGATGGGGGGCTCCCCAGCCCCCTCCACCTCCTGGCCCTGCCCCCCGCCCCCCTGTAAATCTATGTATTTAGTGCGAGCTAGTCTGAACTCTGAGGTTATGGCTCCCGGGGTGCCCGAGCCCCAGGCCCCTGACCCGTCCTGTGCCAGCCAGCCCCTCCTCCGGAAGGCTGCTTCCTCAGCTTAAATAACTTTTTAAAATAAAACTGCAAATATAAATATCTTTCTTTCTCAAAAAATAGGATTTTTGCTTTTTTTTGTTGGTTTTTACATTTTTTTCTTTTCCTGCTTTTCCTCTCCCTCTCTCTGTCTCGCCTCCTACAATCCCGGCTGCCCGGGTGGCCTTGGTCCTGGGGGTCCCCCGGCCCCTGCCTCGGCCACCCCCCCCATGTGCCACGCAGCCACTCCCGCCACGGCCGATGGGTCTCAGTAGTGCAAAGACCCCCAGAAGACCCTGGAAGGGGCTGGGGGACCCTCCCCGCCCCCGAGACCCCTCGGAGGGAAGCGAAGGGACAGCCATGTACAAACACGGTGACAAGACAATGGCCACAGGGGGTCTCCTGGGCGAGCCGCCCGAGGGGGGCAGACTTTGGTATGGCCCGCGGGAGCCCGGCTGGGCGCAGGCCCACAACCGTGCCAGGCTGGGCCGGCTCTTTACATTCACTGGTTTTGAAAATTTTTTTTTTTATTATTTTTTTATTTTTTTTTGCCTTTTTTTTTTTTCTCTTAATCTCAAAAGGCAGGGATGGGGCGGGGGGGCTAGGCAGGGAGCAGCAGCGAGGGTGTTCATCTCTGTCCCGGGTCCTGCAGGCTGGCACCCATTCCAGGCGAGGGCTCCGGCCTCCACATCCTGCCGGGGCCCCCGGAGCCCCCGCCCGGAGACCCCGGCCTGGACCTCACTCGTGCACACGCGCGCACACACGCATCCACGCAGCTTTACCAAGATGATGGAAATCACAATTCCGCTTTGTTTTTCTTTTTTCTTTTTTTTTTTTTGTACCAGGCAGTTAAAAAAAAAAAAAACACCCCAAAAAAAGAAAACACAAAAAAAAAACCCCAAACAACCAAACAAAAAAACGTTTTCCTGTGTCCTTTCTGACAGGTCAGCACGTTCCCCCTCAAAGATTTTTTTGTTTGTTTGTTTCCTGAAACGCGAGAATTCAGCAGTATCTTTGGCAACACGTGATCACAACCTTAATTTAAAGAATAAAAATAAAATCGATCCACGTCTATATACAGTATGTGATTGCGGGGAGCTGGGGGGGCTGGGGGGGTGGGTGGGCGTCCCGGCGCTGGGCCCATGCAGACGCTGCGGCCCCCGGGACAGGCTGGCGGGCAGCGGAGGAGGGTTAAGGCGGAGAAGGAGGGTGGGGCTGGCGGAAGCTGAGCGCAGAGCTAGGCGCAGGGGTTTAGTGCAATTCCCGAGGAGGTTCGTGTTAAAGTGTGCTCGGCGGGGTTGAGCCCTTGCCCCCGCCATAGTCCTCGATCCCCCAAGTCCGGTCGCCCCCACCGGCCAGGACGACAGCTGTGATTTTTCAGTTGGTTTTATTGCGAGGGGGTGTGTGGGGCAGGGGGAGAGGGCCGTCCCTCAGGAAACCTGTCTGGGAGCCGGGGTGGGGCGGGGGGGGGGGCCCTGGCCTGGGCGCTGAAGCTCTCTGCTCGGTTTCCAGATGGTTGTCCGAAAGAGCTCGCCCCGTGGTGCTGGGGTGTGACGAGGCCACCCGGCCCTGGGCTCCCCTGCCACCCCCTCAGGAGGGGGGGTCCTGAGACATTGGGGGGCTGACGGGCTCGGGGGGGGGGTGGGAAGGAAAACAAAACTATCCTGTAGAAACAATGATGAAAGTTGCCTGCTTACAAAGCTTTCCCTTTAAAAAAAAAAAAAGAAAAAGAAAAGACGAGAAGATGGGGTTTGTCACAGAGCAAAGGGGTCCCGGGGGGACGGGCTGGAGCGGGGGACAGGGGCGCCCCCACCTCGGGCTCTGACGAGGAAGGGTCTCAGCTCAGCGGAGCGTCTATTTACAGGGTCCCACGCTAGGCGTTGCATATGCGAGAGGGGTCGGGGAGAGGGTGCCCTGGCCTCTGGCATCGTGGTCCCCCCAGCCCTGGCCCCTGTCCGTGGCCTGTGGCTCGGCCAACGCCGGGCCTTTGGGGAGCCAGTGGCTGGGGGGAGGCAGGTGCCGGCCCCCAGATTACAGTCAGTGCCTTTGAGTAAAAAGAGGGGTACCTGGGGGGGGTGTAAGGCCCTGGAGGTGGCGCCCCCTGTCACCCACCTCAACGGGCATGGCATATCCAAGACGGCAGCTCCGTGGTGGCCACAAGGAAGGGCGACCATGTTGGAGGGCGGGAAGCCCGGAGGTGGGCGAGGGGACAGCGAGGGTGGGGGACCGGCGGGGGACGGGGTGCTCCGGCTGGTTGGAAGGCCAGCCCTCTCTCGGGCCCATCCCTGAGCTGGGGAGTCAGTAAGGAGGGTCCCCACGGACACGGGTGGCCGTGGTATGGCTAGTGGGTGACAAGACATCTCAAATCGGAACCAAAAAAGGGACAGGATGGGAGGGAAGGGAGGGGAGGGGGTCACGGCAGAAACACAAAAGCCCGGAGTCCTGCCTGGAGGCGGCGTCCCCGGGAGGCCCCCGCCTCGCGCGCCCTGCCCGCCTGCCTCGCCTCGGGGAACAGAAGCGGATGCTCCGTCTGTGGTGGGTTTGCTTTTTTATTATTTTGTACAAAAATAAATCAGCTTTCAGGAATTTCTCTTTGCTCTCTCTCTCGCTCTCTCTCTCTCGCTCGCTCGCTCGCTCTTTTTATTTTTATTTTTTTTTGTCTTTTCGACTTTTTCATAGAAGTTGCTTGCGATTTGTAAACACGTTTTTAAATTAAGATTTAAGAGAAAGTGTAGTACCCGTTCTGTTTTCAAAGTGCCGAGACTTCTATTGGTGGTCGGTGGTCTTTTTTTTTTTTTTTTCCTTTTTCTTTTTTGTGTGTGTTTTCGTTTTTCCTTTCGTTTTGTAAAATCTGGGTTTTATTGCTTTTGTGACACTGGAACTGGTGGACCCTCTCCCCTCACCCCTGCCACCCGGAGACCCTGGGTTCCCTCTGCGGTCGGCTAGTTCACCCCACACCCTCGCCTGCTCCTCTGAAGAAAAGTATATTTTATATATATATATATATCTATATATAAATTTTGTTTTTAAGGAGGAAAAAAAAAATCTAAAAAGTGCTTTAAAAATTGGGCGGGGGCTCGGGGCTGGGGAGGGGGAAGACCGAAAGTTTTGAATCTCCAAACGTTTTGGGGGGGTTCTGGGCGGCCTGGGGCCGGGGCGCAGCCGGGGGTGGCGGGGGCGCCCCGCGCGGGCCCCAGGGGGTCCCGCGGGGGTGTAAGTGCCATGAAGGGGGCGCCCCCACTCCCCCCTGGGCTCGTCCCCTTCTTCTCTGCGCCTGGCAATAAATAGATCCGTGTCCCAGCGGCCGGGAGATCGGGGGCCACAGGCGGGGGGATGGGGGGGAGGCGGGGGGCCGTGGGGAGCCCCCCACTTAGTAAGTGCCCTGAGGAAGGAGGGTGGGCGCGGGGCGGGGTGCGTTTTAACGTCCGCTCACAGCAGACAACCATCGTTTAAGGTCTTGTCCCAAAGACTCGGAGAGCCCAGCGAGGGGGCGCGGGGCAGCCCCCCAGTGCCCGGCCCCCTGCGCCCCGACGGGGCCTGGGGCGCGCGGGGGGGTGGGGCCTCGGAGGGGCCCCCAGCCCCGAACCCTCGTGTCCCTCCAGACCCCCCCAGCGACCCCGAAACCCATGGCGGGGTGGGGGGGAGGGGAGCCGGGGCTGGGGGTCCCGGTGGAGGGCAGACACGGTGGAGGGGAAACGGAGGAAAGCGCTACCTAGAGTCGGTGCGGCGGCATATATATATATCTGCATATATATATATCTCGAGATATAGGATCTGGGTATAGATAGATCTGGGGGGCGCGGGGGGCCCGCTCTCTCCCTCCCGCCTGCGCTTTTTTGGTTTCAGGCGAGTCCGGCCGCGAAGCCCCCGTCGGCGGGCGCCCCGGGGGCCCTGTCTGCGCCCCCGCCGCCCGCGCCCGCTACATTCAGGCCGCCCGGGCCCTCGGGGCTGGCCGCGTCCTCGTCCTCGTCCTCGTCCTTAAAGTGCTTCTCCTGCCCGTTGCGCCGGCCGTCGGGGGAGCCGGGCGCGGCGGGGGCGCCGGGGGGCGCGGGGGCGCCCGTGGGTGCGTCGGGGCCCCGGGGCGCGCGCGGGGCTTGCGGCCGCGGCGCGAGGGCACCCCGTTGCAGCCGTCCTTCTTGAGGTGTCTGTGCAGGTGGTCGGAGCGCACGAACGTCTTGCAGCAGCTGTCGCACTGGTAGGGCCGCAGGCCCGTGTGCACGCGCATGTGGTTCTTCAGGTCGTAGTTGTGCGCGAAGGCCGCCCCGCATTGCTGGCACAGGTACGGCTTCTCGCCCGTGTGCTTCCGCATGTGCACCTTCAGCTTGTCCTGCCTGCGGACGGGGCGGGGTCAGCGCGCGCCCGGGGACGCCCCCCACCGGCCCCCCACCCCGGCCTGGCGCCCCCAGGCACCCGGCGACGGCTTTGGAGCCCCGCGTGCTGTGCGGCCTCCGGCGAATGGCACAACCTCTCTGAGCCCTTTTCCTCAGCCGTAAGTGGAGGACAGGCTGCCCCGCCTGGGGTCCCGCCAAGCGGCAGGAGCGTTCATTCAGGAGCCCCTGCTGAGTACCAGACCCCGTTGCAGGTGCTGAAAATATTCCAGGGGACAAGGGAGGACGCCAGGGGCTTGGGAACTATGCGACCAGCCGCCCTGCTTTGAGCACACAAGGTCCTGCGTCCCGGGAAAGCCCTGGAGGGAGAGTGGGGTCCCCGCAGTTGGCCATGATCATAACCACTCGCCAGGAGCCAAACGCGCCCGAACCTCTGCCTCTCTCTGCTCTGCACCCAGGCTAGGCCCTGGCTGTCACCCCAACGTGCTAACCGCGAGCCCACCTCAGGGCCTTTGCACGTGCTGCTCTGCTGCCTGGAGCCCATTTTTGCTCCCACATCTTCACAATTCCACTCCGGCCCTTCCACGCACTCCCACGCCACCACCATCGGACTCTCTCCTCTGTGTCCCAGCTTCCTTCTTTCTCGTCTGTCTCCCCGACCGGGCTGTGAGTCCCGAGGCAGGAGGGACCGGAGCGATGCCAGGGCCCCGCCGGCCATCTTGCCCCACAGGAAGCAGAGTGGACTCAGCGCAGCCTGGGGCCGTCGGCCCACAGAGCTGGTCACCGCATCAGCCACAGGGCGACTGCTCTGTCCCACGCGGCAGCCACCCCCACATGTGGCTCCTGAGCCTCGAAATGTGGCTGGAAGAGCAAAAGGCGCCCGGATTCTGAAGATGCGTGTGCTTGACAGGACGTGAAACAGCTCATTTGTAACCATGCACACGGCTTGCGGGGCGACATGTGGCTACGGGGTCGAGGAAAATGCGCTGGAAGTTACTCTCCCCTGATCCTTTTACGTCTTTAACAAGCAGCGGCCAGAAAACATGCGACACGGAACTTGGTCACGTGATATTTCTACGGCTGTGCTGGTCCATACTCGTGGGAGCAGATTCCTGCTTGGAATCCACAGGGCCGGGGCGGGGACCTGGGTCTCCTGGCGTCTGCCCTGCTCCTTGCTGCAGCCACCTGGGCCCCACGTCTGAGCCACTAGGTCTCTTCCTTCTCACACCCACCGGAAGGAGAGCTTCTTCAAGGTAAGGAGTGACAAACTCCTATTCATCCTTCAGAGCCCCACCTTGATTGCCCTGCCTTTCCCAACTGCCAAAGACTGGGCTCTCCCCAGGCTCTGGGTCCCTCCCTCTGGCACCTCCCACAGAGCTAGGGTTCCTACTTGCTGGAACCTTCTGTGGCTCCCTATTGCCCTGAGGGCCAAAGCTTGGCCCTGTGCAACCAGACCCCTCCCTACACTCTGGCCTTGTTACCCCTCCCTGAACCAAAAGAGCTCGGGCCACAGTGGGCTTGCTGCTCCCTGAACCAACCGGGTCTGTCACCAGGGAGGCGACAACACTGCTAGGAGCTGCCTCCCAGGGCCCTGCCCAGAGGCTGGCCTGGGGCCGGGTCACGGTGGGGACAGCAGGGCCTCCGATGGTTTCAGCGCTGTGCAGAGATCCCCCCAGCTGAGGTTCGGAGGCTCAGAGAGGGGAAGTGACTTGCCCTGAGCGGCACAGCGGGTCAGGGGCTGCGCCCAGGTGGGGTGGGGGTGGAGGCGGCCCCAGTTTCGTCACCCCGAGCCCCGTCCGGGGTAATTATAGCCCGGGCCACCACAGGCCCGGCTTACTCAACTCTCTAGTGTGACTCAGAGGGGCCCCTGGCTCCCCGGCTGGGAGGGCGGGGTGGGGGGCCCGCAGGGGGAAGAGGCCTGGCCCAGGGCCGCTTTCTATGCCTCAGTTTCCCCGCCTGGCCAACGGGATCGGCCCCAGGTCGAGAGTGGGGTGACCGAGAGAACTAAGGTCAGAGTGAAACGGGGCTCCAGGCCACCATCAGGGGTGGGAGGCCCCAGGCCTCTGTCCGGCCGGGTCACCTCTCCAGAGCCTGGCTCGCTGGGCCGCCACCAAGCTGGTCCCCCCGGGGCCCAGAGACCCCAGCCATCTGGGGACCCCAGTCTGGAGGAAGGGGGTCCCCCAAGACTCCCAGTGCCCCCGAAGTGGGGGGCAGGCTGCCAGCTAGCCCGCCCGCCTCCAGCCAGTGCCCTTTGCCCCCGCCTGGCCCGGGTAGCTGGGGCCACACCCTCCTCTCCTGGCCCGCTGGGGAAGGGGCCGGGGGTCAGCCCCCAGATCCTGTCCCCGTGGGGCGGGGCCGGGAAACTGGGACAATGGCCTCTTTCTTCAGCCTGGGTGGGCGTGGCTGGGGAACCCCAGGGCAGGCGGGGGTACGGGGTGATGCTGAGTCACCCGGCTTGGCCGGGCCCCTGCACGCCAGCCCCCCGCCCCCAACCAGGCTGGCCCACAAGGCCCCGCCAGCCACCTCTGGACTCCTAAGATGGAATCCCAGATTCCCCCCAGCCTGGCCTCCAACTCTTCCTGTCCAGGGACCAAGCCCTGCGACTTGGTGTTTTTCCTCCACCGGCCGCGCCATCCCCCAGGCTGAACTGGCCTCAGGGCCTTTGCACAGCCCTGCCCTCTGCCCTTGCCCGCGCCTTCCTCCCTCATCTCCTTCAGGTCTCGCGGTGTCTAACGCAGCAGCCTCGGCCGCTCCCCAACCCTCCTTCTCTGCTCTCGCTCTCTCTCTAGCACTTTCCACCAACGACTGTTATCAGTCCTGAGGTTTTCCCTCGCACATGCTCGGTCGCCCCCACGGGGATTTGGGCCCGGCTCCACTTCTGCATCCCTGGCACCTAGAACGGGGCCTGGCACCCAACAGGCGCTCCATCCATGTCGGGCGAATAAATCAAGCTGCCCAGGCTCACGGGGGACTTCGAGGGACCCGGCTGCGGGGGCTCCCGGCGCCTTGCGGGGCTGTCACCCGCTCCCAGAGCAAAACCCCTCGGATCCCAACGGGAAGAACCACTTCCCGGAGCAGAAGAGCGACTCCTGCGCCCTCCTTCCCGCCTCCCGCGGCCCGTATTCTGGGGGTCATCGCGGTCAGCGCCTGCGCCCCTACCCGCAGCCTGCTCCCGAGGGGCGCGCGGGGTGGGGGTACCCCAAATGGAGAAAGCGCCACTGCAGAGCAGGGCTGCGCTGCTTCTGCACGTGGCGGCGGTGTGCGTGCGTGTGTGCGTGTGTGCGTGGAGGGGACACGGTCCGCGTGTAGCTGGGATGCACAAGGCCGACCCCCGTGGCCCTGCTCCTACAGCCCCACCCCCGTATCCCCCGTGGCCCCGCCCCCTGCATCCCCTGGACCCTTCTGCATCCCCGCCCCCCAGTATCCGCCGCAGGCTCCCCCCCTGCGTCCCTCCCATCCCCTGCGTCCCCTGCGTGCCCGCCCCTCGCATCCCCTGCGTGTCCCGCATCTCCGGCTCCCCCTGCATCCTCTATGGCCCCGCCCCCCGCGTGTGGGCCCCCTGCAGCCCCCGCGTCCCCATGCCCTGCACCCCCTGCATCCCCGGCGCCCCCTGCATCTCCTGCACCCCCTGCATCCTCTGTGGCCCCGACCCCGCGTGCGGGCCCCCGCATCCCCAGCGCCCCCTGCATCCCTGACGCCCCCTGCATCCGCTCGGTTCTCCTGCATCCTCTGTGGCCCCGCCCCCCGCGTCTCCTGCACCCCCGCCTCCCCGGCCCCTGCATCCCCGGCGCCCCCGCATCCCCGCGCGCCCCCTGCACCCCCCGCGCGCGCGCCCCGGCCTCACCTGGTGAAGCGGACCTTGCAGATGTTGCACTCGTACGGCTTCTCGCCCGTGTGCGTGCGGATGTGCCGCGGCAGCTTGCCCGCGCCCTGGATCACCTTCTCGCAGATGGGGCACTTCTGGAAGGCCTTGGCCCGGATCTTCTTCTCCACCTTCTGCGACCAGGCCGGGTAGACGTCGCCGTCGTGCGCGCCGCTGAAGTACTTCAGGTAGTAGTCCACCACCCCCTTGTCGTCCGCCCGCGACTCGTCGTCGCTGTCGCCCGCCGCCGCCGCCGCCCCCGCCCGGCCCACCGACGACATCATCTGCTGCAGGAGCGTGCTGGCCGCCAGCCCGTCCGCGTCCGCCCCGTCGCCGTCCTCGCCCTCGGCCGCGCCCGACAGGAAGCCCGGGGAGTCGCCGGGCTCGGGGGCCGCCTCGGACAGCGACGCCGCCTCCTCCTCCGCGCCGCGCCCGTAGTGGCCGTTCTGCGTGGCGGCGGCCGGCGGGGCCGCGGGCGGCGGGAAGAGGCCCCCCGCGGGAGCATCCTCGTCCCGCTCGGGCCACAGCCCCGGGTTGCTGTCGGCCTCGTCCCCGTCCCCGGCCGAGGGCCGGTCGGCGGGGGGGCCCGGCCCGTAGAAGTCCAAGCCGTTGCAGTCGCCAGCGGCCACGGCGGCCACGGCGGCCGCCACCGCCTCCTTGGTGGCCTCCAGGTCGTCGTCGGCCGCGCCGAAGGCGGACCAGGGGAAGGTGGCGGCGGCGGCGGCGGCGGCGGGGGGCAGGCTGTTCATGGGGTTGCTCTGGAAGAACTCGAGGTACTCCTTGGCGCGCAGCAGGTTGCGCTGGTCGATCTCCTCCACCAGGTCCAGCTGCCCGGCGTCGGCGCCCGCGTCGGCCGCCAGGATCTGCCGGTCCAGCAGGTCGGCGCACACGTGGCTCACGGCCGGGATCTCCAGCAGCCGCGCGGCGCTCAGGATGTCGCCCACGTTGGCCGTGCTGACCGTGAGCGTGGCCGTGTAGGCGAAGTCCATGAGCGCCGTGAGGGCCTCGGCGCTCACGAAGTCGATCTCGTACACGTTCTGCTGGTCCACCACCGCCCCCGACGTGAACAGCTTCTTGAAGTACTGGCTGCAGGCGGCCAGCACCGAGCGGTGCGTCGGGAACTCGCGGCCCTCCACCAGGATCACCACGTCGCACAGCAGGCCCTGCGTCCGCTGCTCGTTCAGCCCGCTCAGGATGTCGCTGCTGTGGTCGGGGAACGGGATCCCGATGGGGCCGTCCACGCCGCCGGCCATCTTCCGCGCCGAGACCTGCAGCGCCGGGGAGGGACGGGCGGCGGTGAGCGGCGGGAGGCTGGAGAGCGGAGCCCCAGCCTGCCCTCCACCCCCCCCCCACCCCGGCCATCCGCCGCCGGCCTCAGTTTCCCCAGCTGAGCTGCGGGGTGGGGGAGGGCCCGTTCTGCATGATGGACACAAGAGGATGCCGCAAGACCCACACTGGGCGCTCGGGAGCTGAAGTCGGGCCCCCTCCCTCCAAGAGCCCCGGGGAGCGCACAGTAGGTGCTGCACCCATGCGGTGGCCCTCTCGAGGCACCCACTATGCGCCATCACGCTGGAGCGCCCGCAGTCCCACCGCAGAGCCAGCAGGCAGGACGCAGGGTTGGCGGGGAGGCCACGTGCTGAGGCCCCACGGCGCCCAGACTCAAACCTGGGGCGGCGGGTCCCGCAGAGCCAACGTCCCCGCCTGGTCATCCAGCCCCTCGGCCTCGCGACCCTTACTCCTGCCTCCCAGGGACGCCCGGCCTCCGCGGGGACTCTGAGTCAGCAGGAAGGGGCGAGGCTGGGCCGGGCCGGGGGCATCGGACTGTGGGCGTGCCCTGGGGGTTGGGGGAGGTGATGACACTGCAGGATAAACCCCTTCCTGCCCCGCGGAGCCCCCAGGATGTGGCTCGGCCGTGACACGAGTAACGGGGAAACTGGGCCAGCGCCTGGGCCAAGCCCCCAAGCAGGAGCCAGGCGGCCGGGGGCCTCTGCCCATCTCCTGCCTGCCCAGCGCCCCCAACTCTTGGCCACCCTCTGTGCTGTGCAGCCAGGGACGAGGCCCTGCCACTCTCTGGGCCTCAGTCTCCCCATCTGTCAAATGGGCAGAGGCCTTTGGAAGAGCCAGGCGGTGGGGGACGCTGGCTGTCTGTCTGTCTGTCCCGCCCCTCTCCCCCCTCCCTTTTTCCGCCTGCCCCGGGCCGTGACTCATCCACCCACTCCGGCTTGTGCAACCCTCTGACTCTGTCCCGCCCCTCCACCCTCCCCAGGGAGCCCCCGGCTGCCCCCAGCCGCCCAACGCAGCCCTCCGTCCTCCAGGCCCGGTCAGTCGGCCAGCTCTCGGGCCAGGGCATCTGGACATCCCCAGGGACAGGCGCCCAAAGGCCCCCGGGACCCCCAGCCCCCAGCGGAGCGGTTGGCCCGGCTCTACCCCGGATCGCTCCCTGGGCCAGCGGGACGCGGGGCCAGGGCAGGACTATCCCCACCCCGGCGCGGGGTCCAGGCCGCGGGGCTGACTCTGCGCCCCGCCCACGGGACTACAGTTCCCAGGACACCGCTGCGCCCGCCCCCCTGCCCGCGGCCGCACCAGCTGCCGCCTCCCCGCTCCGATGGGGCTGCCGGGAGCAGAGGGTGGGGGCGCGACCCCACTGGCCCGGCCCCGGCGGCTCCCACCCCCTGGCACCATCTGCCGTCTGGCCCGGGCCCCGGGGAGCGAGTGGGCAGATGGGCTCCGGATCAGACCAGCCTCGGCCCCTCCTCGCGCCCCCTCGGATCCGGGCCACCGAGGCCTCAAGATGGCCCCCGGGCCTGCTTGCTGCTGAGCCCCCAGGGGCTCCACGGGGGGACAGTGGTCCCAGGTGGCCCCCTCCCCGTGGCCACGCCGCTCCTCTTCCCGCTGGGCCTGGGGACTGGCACAGCCCTACTAGCCGGGAGCCACCAGGCTGGCAAGGAGCAAGCCCGGGCCTTGAGCCTGGCCCAGGGCACCCGACCAAGCCCTGGGTCTGAGGCAGCTCAGGAGTCCGGGATCCATGTCCCTGTCCTCCCCAGCTGGGGCCTGTATTTCCCCAGATAATCATCGGAGACTCTACCCCCAAAAGGGCCGGGCCTGGGAGGTGCCGGCCGAGGAAGTCCCCGCGAGAGTGGCATAACCCCACATTTCACAGATAAGAAAACTGAGGCCCAGAGACGGCTAGCATCCTCGCCGAGGGCACCCAGCACGGCCGGTCCACAGGCCTGGGGTCCAGGGGCTGATGGAGGCCGGAGGCTGGCCCCCGGCTCCCCACCTCCCCCCACCGCCTGGCAAGCCGTCGCCTCTGCCCTCGCCCTGCCACCCAGACTGGCTCTGCAGCCACCTGACCCACACCCTCTCTCCAGGAACACATGCCACCTGCCCGCCACGCCCCGGGCCACGGCCACCCCTCCCCCAGGCCTCTCCCTCTGCGGGTCGGGGGCCCGGCTCGCTGCAGCCCCACTGTGCGCCGCGGCAGCTTCCCCCAGAGGAGCCGGGGGCCCCCTCCATCGGAGCCCCGGCGGCCCCGGGCGCCCAGTCGGTGCCCGGCACGTGGCGGCTCACTGGCAGCGAGGACCCAACAAGGCCGCGCTCCTCCAGGAAGCCCCGCCCCCGCGCCGCCGGGTCCCCACCCTCAACGGCCAGGGTCCCCGGGCGCAGGCCCACACCCACCGGCGTCTTTCATCACAGCTCCGCCCCCGCGCTCACCCCGTGGGATTTCCGGGGCGCCCGGCGGTGCTGACTCGGCAGCCGGTGGGGACAGGCCCCGGCAGGCGCCTCCAGGGCTGAAGGGGGGCGCCCGGCCTGCCCCCGGCAGCGCACAGTAGGGACGCAGGGCCCCCCGGATGAACCAAAGACCAGAGGGCTCCGAACTGGGAGAGCCCACGCCCGGCCCTGCCCACCCGGCTGGCGGCACACCCGGTCCCACCTCCGATCTAACCTCGGGTCACTTATGGCTGGTCCTTTCCAAGGCAGCCGGGCCCACGCCTGCTTTCGGCGCCCCCCCAACAGCCTCCTCTGTGCCCCGGAACTTTCAGGAACTAACTGGGCAGCTTTATTTTCCATCTTCCCCACTGTAAAGGCCTGGGCTCGACAGCTGGGTAGAGGCTCAGAGAGGGCATGAGATGTGGGCAAGGTCACACAGCAGACCAGCGGCCAGGTCAGGACTCGGACTCTCTGACCTGAGCTGGCCTGAACTGCCGCCACTCACCTGCTGGGGCCCTGAGGGGAGGTCAGGAGCACCCCGGCCTCGCCCTGGGCACAGCTGGTGGTTCCCAGGAAGGCCTCAGGATTGTGGGAAGGATGTCCCCGGCCTGGGGAACAGCCGAGGCGAAGGCCTGGTGGTGGGCACGCGGGAGAGGGGCCCAGGGAAGGAGAAGGCCACTGTACCAGGAGGCTCCCCAAGATCAGGGGCGAGGTGGGGGCTGGGGCCGGCCCCCTCGTCCCACCCACAGGCTTCAGGAAGGAGAGGGGGCTGGGCAGTCGCTGCCACCCCGCCTTCCTGGAGGAGTGTCTGGGGTCCACTGGCAGCTCAGTGAGGGGTTCAGGCTCCTCCGCCCTCACCCACAGAGCAACGACAGGAAACCAGAGAAGGGGCTCTAACCCCTACTGAGCGCCATGCACAGCAGCCCGGGTCCCGGTCCTGGCCCCTCCGCCTCCAAGCTGTGTGACCTTGGGCAAGGTGCAGCACCTCTCTGTGCCTCAGTTTCCTCGGGAGTCGTGAGGGTGGCAAGGGTGGCAGCTGGGGCTGCTCTAGGCCATGGTCTCACTCTCGTCCCTTGAGCAAACTTAGCCTGAGGACCTACTGTGTGCCAGCGCCTGTGCCCAAAGGCCCGACAAGGCTGGTCACCACCCCCCTTGTGAATGGCGGCCATTGAACTTGACCTCTGAAGGCCGTCTCCAGGAATCCAGCCCCCTCCCCACCTACTATGTGCCAAGGAAGCAGGCGGTGGGGCCCCAGGGGACAGCCGGGGGAGCGCAGCCACTGTCTGCAGGGGAAAACCAGGCCCAGAGAGGGTGGGCGGCTGGCCCAAGGTCACACAGCAAGTCTAGCGCCCAGGTGCAGCTGCCAGGCCCTCGCCCAGCTGCCCCTGCCCCCTCCCAGCCTGGCGGCCTGTGTCGCAAGGTTGGTCCTGCCTGGTTACCCCGCCCTGACCTGGTGCCAATCCCTGCCTGGCCCGGTCCCCGGCCCGGGGTTTAATGGGACAGGAATGCAGCGTCCCGATCGGGGTGCGGGGGGCACCGAGGGCCCAGGGTGGCTGCCGGCCGCCAGCTGCCGGCCCGGCCCCTGCCCGCCTGTCCCCACAGGCCTCCTCCGGGCCAGACACCAGCACACAGGCCCTCGGCCATTTTCTGTGTCCATTTATTGCCCTAAATGGGGAGGGGCTTCCTGCCCGGGCCTTAAAGGGCCAGAGGCAGGAAGGCCGCAGGCTCGGTGGGAAGTGTGCGTGTGCGGGTGGGGGGGGATGAGAAGGTCATGGGGATCCCATCTGACCCCCAGCTCACGGGTGGGGCCGAGGCCCACCCTGTTCCCACGCCCTGAGTGCTGTCAGGGGCCAGGAAGTCCAGCCCCGACACCACTGGCGGGTTCCAAGCGGAAGCTCCGGGAAGACACAGCCATTCCCGGCGACGTGGGAGGAATGAGCTGCCCGTCGCCGGGGGTAAGCAAAGCCAGGCTTCGCAGAATCCCATCCCCGTGCTCCCGCCCTGGCTGCGGCAGCACCTGCTGCTCCGAGATGCCCCGGGGAGGCCCTGGTGACCTCCACGAGGCTGCTCGTCACCTGGAGCCTCCTATGCCACTCACACTCCCGGCCGAGCAGGCAGAGGGCTCAGCCTCCTGGGGCCCGTGTCCCGGGCTCACGAACCCAGCCAGTCCCCTCCCATCGCACACATCCTGAGAGGACGTGGGACCCGGCCTTGTTTTCCAGTCAGACCAGAAAGGCGTGGGTGGGGACGCCTCCACCGAGTGGCCGTCCACGGCCTGCTGGGGGGGAACAGATGGAGGGCCCGGTCACCTGGCCACACTCCTCCCGAGCGCCAGGTTCTCCGCGGGGCACCTTCTGCGCTCTGGCGTGCCAGATTCGGGACTCGGGGCCCCGCGGCCAGGCAAGGGCTGCCTCTCCACAGGGCGCGGGGGACCTGGTCCCCGTCATCTCAACATCCATCCCCCCAGCTCTGAGAGGCAGCTCTGTGACCAATGCCCCACTTCGCAGACAGGACACCGAGGCTCAGAGAGGAGAAGCGACTTGCCCTGGGTCACACAGCAGAGGTACATGTGAACACAGGCCATCTGGCTCTGTTCTGCCAGGGTTCCCTCCTCCCACCACCGCGCACGGCCCCAGGCCCAGCAGGGACCACGTCCCCCACCCCAGGGGCCTTGGGGGCTGGGGACAAGCTGAACCTCCAGCCCCCACAGAGCCCCCTTAGGAGGAAGTTGGCCTGAGGTCACACAGGGAACCCATGGCAGGGTCCGATCCCTCGGTCATCAGGACAGAAATGCAGGAGGGGCCTCCCCCAAGCCTCAACACAGCACAGCAGTCACTCAACAAACATTCCTGGGGAACCTGAGCAAATCCTTGGGTGACGCTTCTGGCTGAAGGCGACCTCCCCGTGGCACCGAGGGCCAAGGCGAGGCGGGCAGCGGGGACGTGACCTCCCCGGGCGCACCTCAGGTGGAGGGGAGGGCTGGGCTGGGATGGGGCCACACCGGCCCCCACCCAAGCCTGTTCCTCTGGTCCCCGCTGCCCAGGGCTGTGGCGGGGCGGTTTATGGTCCCTCCAGGGCCTGGAGCGCAAGGTGACAGGTGGGGGGGCAGAGTGGCTCAGGCCGTGGGACCTCTGCTGTGCCCCGAGAACAGCAGGCGGGAGGGAAGCACACAGGACACAGGGAGGCCTGCAGGCAGCGCCCGGGGGGACCCCACAGCACCCCAGCTACAGAGGGGGACGCTCAACTCCCAGAGGCCAAGGGGCTTGTCCAAGGCCACGGAGCTGGGCGGGCATTCCCAACCCCAGGGGACGCCCTCCTCGGGCCGGCCCTGAGTCTCGGCTCTCCAGAGGTGACCCGGGCCTCCCCGGGTATAGTGGGTCATAAAACCCAGGGCCCAGCCCATCAACAGGGGCCAAGATGCCAAGGTGCGCAACCGTGGCTCCGAGGGGGGCGGGAAAGGGCCTTGCACGCTATAAAAGCGCCTGCCACGGAATGCTGGGAGGCAGGAGGACTGGGGCTCGTGCTGTGTGACCTTGGGCACCTTGCTGGCCCTCTCTGAGCCTCGCTGTCCTCTTTGAGCCAAGCGTTTCCTCGGTCCCGGGGAGGCTGCGTTTGGCCGACAGGTCCTGCTGTCAACCTCTGGGCCTTCTGAAGGCAGGTGGGCAGGCGCCCCTCGGCTGTGACACACGGAGGACTTTGAACGAGGCCTGAGCGCGCAGGCAGGGACCACGAGGGTCAGACTCAGCTCCGGCCGGGTGACCTTGGGCTGCTCTCCGCTTCCCCCTGGGCCTCGGTGTCCCCTGCCCAGCCCGACATCCACTCCCAGGCTTCCTCTGAGCCCCCGAGTTCCCACACTGCCTTGGGCCTCCCCTCCCGGCCTCTGTTTCCTCATGTGGCAGTGGGGACGGCCACCAGCCTGACCCAGCTGTGGGTCACAGGGCCCCAAGGAAGAGAAAAGAAGGACACAAGTGAACACAAGGCCTTGCTCCTGCCGGGGGACCTTCCCCACCCGGCGAGGGCCGAGCTCCGTGGGCCTCAGTGTGCCACACGGAGCAGAGGGCGCACGGGCTCCCCACCGCCACCCGAGCCACCGCTCCTCGGGGCCTCTGCTGGGAGGTGCGTGGCTCCCGGCTGGGCCCAGGGTGCTGACTGGCCGCCACGCAGCCAATCAGGACCGGATAATAAATACCCCCCCAAAGTGACCCACGAATTAAAATTTCAGTGTCCCCGTTGGCTCCTCTTTCCTTCATCAGACAGACGGATCCCAGGGCCTCGCTCGCGCCTCCAGCCGCGGCTCCCGCCCCCCCTTCTCCCCCAGGCTCCCGTCTCCACAGCGATGGCTGGCGGTAAACAGAGCCCCGAGCCCGGCCGAGGAGTGCAGGCCCGGCGAGCTCCAGGGGCCCCACCGGGGCTGGCCCCCGGGGAGCGTGCCCCCGGCCTGGCGCCCTGCGCCGGGGACCAGCAGCAGGCCCAGCCCTGCGCCCCGACCTCTCCCCAGCCCAGCCCTGCCAATAGGAAGTGCTAGTCCTGGGGAGGGCCCCCCAGGGTGGGAGCGGCCACCAGGGTGACGCCCTGGCCCCGCTGGGGGGGGCTGACATGGAATCCCGGACACCCTGTCCGCCGGCCCCGCTCCCCCAGGCAGCTGGCAGGGGCGGCGGGTGCCAACCAAGCCCGCCACCCTTGGGTGAGCCAGGTGGGCACGCCCGGGGAAGGGGCACCGGGCACCTCTCTCACTTCCGCCGGCTGCCTGGGGGGAGAGGAGGTGCCCGCCTCCCCCGGCCACTCCGCCAACTGCTGGCTGCAGTCCCCAAACATTCAGTGGGTGCCCGGCCCTGGCTGGACAGCAGTCCCTGCTGCCGGCCACCGCACTCCCCCCCCAGGCCCGCCGGCCAGCGCCTCCGGAGCCCGCAGAGGCCTGGGCCCGGGGGTGCACGGCCCCGGCGGCGGGCCGGCCCCCGCCTGGCGCCCAGGCCCGGGGCTGGGGGAGGGGGCCGGTGCCAGGCCGGGGAGGGCGGGCGCGCGCGGGAGGGGCACGGATCCCCAGCGCACCCCCTCCCCTGCCCGGGCTCCGCGATCGCACGTGGTGGTGGCGTCAAGGGAAGGAGGGGGTCCGGGCCAGAGGAGACGGGGTCACGCGCTCCGGGGGCGCGGGCGGCGGCGAGGGCTGCTCTGCGCCCCCTCCCCGGGGCCGGGCGGCCGCGCGCGCAGGGCGAGGGGCCAGGCCGGTCCCCCCCGCCCCGGGCTGAGTCAGGCCCGGGCGGGGGCAGGAAGCGGCCCCCTCCCCCGCCCCGGCCGCAGCGCGCGCCCCCCCCGGCCCGCGGGCCCCGCCGCGCCGGCCGCGCGGGGGCTCCTACCTCCTTCCCGGGGCAGCGGCGAGGGGGCCCGGCCCCGGCGGCGGCGGTGGCGGCGGCTGCGGCTGGGCTGGCTCCCTCCGAGGGGCCGGGAGGCGGCAGTGAGCCTGGCCCCGCGCCACCCCCCGCCGCCGGCGGCCAATCCCCACCCGGGCTGGGGGGAGGGCGATGCAAATTACCCCGGATCTGGGTCCGCCCGCCCGCCTCCCCCACGCCCGGGCCCGGCCTGCGCTAGGCCGCGCATCCCCGGGCTCGCCTGCGCCGCGCGGCCGCCCCGGCCGCCGCCCTCCCCGGGGAGCGCCGGGTGGGGGACCCCCCCCGCCCGGGGCGGGGGGCCGAGGGGAGGGGGGCTGGGGACGGTTACACAACCAGGCGGGGAGGGGCCCCGGGGCGGGGAGGGGGCCGGCCCGCGGGCCGCGCAGCCGGAAGCCGGGGACCGCCACCGGCCCCCGGCGAGGGGAGCCCGGCTCCAGGCCCCGCCCCCGGGCCGGCTGGGCCCGCCCCCGCGCCGCGCCGCGCGATCGGCCCGCGCCCATTGGCTCGCCGGCCCGCCGCTCACCGCCCCTCCTCCGCACCGCCCCTACCCGCGGGCCGCGGCGGGCCGCCGGCGCGGGGCACCCTGGGACTTGTGGTCCGAGCCTCCCGCCACCTGCCAGCCGCGAGCGGCGGAGGGACTACGACGCCCAGAGGCCCCCGCGGCCGCGCCCGCCCACCCGGACACCCCACCCCTTCCCCCTCCTTTGCAAAGCCCCCCTCCCTGTTTTTTCAGCCCCCTCCCCCCCATCCCCCATGGAGCGCAATCCTGGCCAACTCCAACGTATGCACGCAGCACCGAATAGGCCCCCGGGGGGCGAGAGCGCCCCCCGTACCCAGCTGCAAACTTAGCACGCGACGCGCCCCCCTATCTCCCCACGCCAGCTCCCCCCACCTCAATGCAGCCCCGCTGCCCCTCCCCCGCTGCCCGCGCGCCCGGGAGCCCCGAAAAGCCATGCACCGGGTGGGGGGGGCTGGCGCACAAGCCCATGCACTTCGCCCCCGATCCCCCTCCCGGGCGGCGCCCCCTCCCCGCGCTCGGGATCCAGGGCGCCTCCAGCCTCCGGGCAGCTGCCAACCGCCCCCTCCTCGGAAACTTGCGGAACGTCCCCAGATCGCCCCTTCCCGGGAGGGCAGGGGTGGACGCAGCGCCCCCGGCCCGTCCCCGCCCTGCACCCCGTGCCGGGGGCCGCGCCGGGCGCTGACTTACCTCGCGGGGCCGGGCCGGGGCCGGGCCGGGCCGGGGCGCGCGGGGCCGGGGCCCGGAGTTGGAACTGGGCTCCTCGGCCGCTCGCCTCCGGGGTCCGCGGCTCGCTCTCCCCCTCGCTGGCGCTCCCCTCGTCGCTCCCTCGCTCCGCGGCGGCGGCGTCACTGCCCCTACAGTAACTGTACAGTACAGCCAAAGCCCCGTATGATGCTCGCGACTCCCTTCCTGGTTTCTCCGAGGGCAAGAGGGGTCCTCCCTTGTCTTAAAGGTGCCGCAGCCGCCGGCCCCCCCCACGCCCGGCCCGCCCCCCCACCCCGGCCTCCGAGGCCAGAACAGGCCCGGCAGGTCCCCTCTTGCCACGTCCCTGCCCTCCCGTGGGGCTTCGCCCGCTGCGCCGGGGAGACCGGGCTGTTATTAGGTTTTGTCAAGTTGGGGGGGGGGTCCAGCCCGCCCCCGGCGCGCCCCCCCTGCTCTGACCTCTCCGCCCCGCCGCGCGGCGCGGTGCCAGCTTGCCAGCTTATCGGGCCCCAGAGCTCCCCGGGGCGCGGGGGGAGAGGGCCCCCCGGGGCGGAGGGGGGGTGGGGGCCTCCAGATAAACAGGCCCCCAGCCTCTGCGCAGGGGCGGGCGCGGGAGGGGCGCGGGCTGTGCCCCCGACGCCCGGGGCGTGGCAGGATGGCAGCGGGGGCGGGGAGGGCTGTGCGCACCGCGGGGACCGACGCGGGCGTGGGTCGCGGCTGCCGGCGATGGGCAGGGGGTGCGGGGGGGCGGCCGGCGGGTGGGGACCCCGGGCCGAGCGCCGGGCCTCCCCGGGCCTCAGTGGGCCCCAGGCGCGCTGGGGCCCTGGGGGGCGGGCTTTGGGACGCCGGCTGGGCGCGCTGGGCTCCGGGTCCCTAAATGAAACAGCCAACCTGCTCGCCCGCGATTATATAAAGGTGTCGCCTCCGCCCGCCGCGCCAGGGGCGTCGCGAGGGAAGGGGTTGGCGAGGGGCGGGCCGGGCGGTTGTTTTCCTGGCTCTCCAAGTTCCCCCACCCAACCGCGGGCCGCTGGGCGGGACGGGGACCCGGGCCCGGACGCCTGGGTCCTGCGGGCCGCTCCCGCGAGGGTCCGCGTGGCTCCGGAGAGGCCCGGAGCTGGGGACGGGGGGCGCGGTGGCTCAGCCCCACTTTTTTGTGCCCTGTCCATTTCTCCCACTTCCTCCCCGGTCGTGGGAGAGGGCCGGCGGGGGACGGGGGCGGGGGAGGAGGGGACGGGGCTGGGAGCACAGCCTGACCCGGCCGGGCCGGCCACGCGCTGCACACAGTAGGCGCCCGGAGTTGGGGGGGGCGGTGGGGGGCTGGCTGGCGCGATCGGCCGCCTGGGGGGTGGCGATGGGGGCTCCGGGCCTCAGTTTCCCCTTTCTCATTGCCTTGGCCGGGGAGGGCCGGCACCTGCTTTCGCGCAGCGCTTCCCGGAGCGCCTCTGGAGTGGCTGGCTCTGTCCGGGGTCCTGTTTACTCCATCCGAACGAGCTCCTCGCCTTGTCATTATTATTATTTACTGCGCTTGTCGTTGTTGCCACCATCCCCTGACAGGCGGGAAACTGCCACTGCAAGGGGCCACATGGACCCAGTCTGTCCTCCTCTGACTTCCAAGGTCTCCCGGCCCCCACCCCCTGCCCTTTATGGCCCCTTCGCACAGCACGTTGAGAGCGCCTTTCACCTCCCAAACGGTGGCATTGACTTTGCTGATCATAATTTGGCTCCAAGGGGAACCCCGGGAGGCCCCCAGAGGGGAAGTGGCAGTCCCAGGACTTGCAGCCCGAAACCAGCCCCGGGGAGGTGGGAAGGGACGGGGGGAGGGGCCAGTGGGTCCAGGCCGAGGGTGGAACCCGGGGACTTTGTTCTAACCACCCCGCCTGGGATATCAGGCGGCTTCCTTCCTTCAACCACCCTGCCATCGCTGCGCCACCCCAGGGCCGACCAGAGCCACCGGGCGGTCGCGGGTCCCAGGATCTGCGCGGCCTCCTGCAGACGACTGGAGCTCAGGCCTCCCTCCCAAAGCATCTTCCTCCCTCCGCCCCAAGGGCCGCTCATTCCGCCAGAGCAGGGGTGACTCAGTTTCCCCGCTTGTACCGCCCAGCCTCGGATATCCTGCCTGGGTTTCTCCACAGTTGGTCACCTGACTCAGAGGGCGCAGGGAACTCCTGCGTGACATCGGCCTTGAGCCCCATCCTCAACGCGCCTGACGTGATTGCTGCCTGACATTTGAGGAAACTGAGGCCCAGAGAGGACAACGAGCGAGGATGTCGAATCCAGCCTTCCCCCGGCTCTGGATCCTACCCGAGGGGCTGCGGGTGGGTCCTGCAGGAAATGCCAGGCTGCCGTGCCCCTACCCTCTGCCCGCTCCTGCCCCTGCAGTGAAGACAGAATGAGGGAGGGAAGCAAAGATTTGTGCGGAGCCCCCCTCCTCAGTGTCTCTCCCACAAAAGATACCCGAGTCAATATTATCTTAAAATCTAATAAAGTAGATACTGTTTTAAAACCTAATAAAGTATAGACGATTGAGTTACTGTGCAACCTTGGGCAGATTACTTGACGTCTCTGATCCTGAGAGTCCTTTGGAGAGAATATTGGTACAGATTTCCCAGGGTGGTGACCAATTTGAAACAAGACCGTACATGTAACATACTTAAACGGCCTGCATGAGGGAAGTCCCCAAGTCACCACAGATGTCATTATGTTGTTATTATTATTTGGGCTGAGATGAAACCCACATGTCCAAACGTGAGAACTTCGCACACACTCGAGGCTTTTCTGACCTCGCCGGCAGAGCCCCATAGGACGCTTGGCAAAGGGGGTCTTGGCGTGTACCAGGACTAACTCCATCTCAGCCATAACACAATATAAAAATTGATAAATACTGGACACTTGTCCCAAAACAGATTTGTTGCGGGGCGAGTGGTAACACCAAGTCTCCTTTCTGAGTTCCACCTTTGTGTGTTGAGTCCACATGCGTAGTGGGGGTTATCATCCCCCATGTACACGATGAAGACACAGAGGCCCAGAGAGGGTGAGTGACTCGCCAAAAACACACAGCAAGTGAGGGAGGGGAGTTGAATTCGAGTGGTGTTGGCTAGGCTGCAAAGTAATAATATTTTAAGCAGATAATTTGTGTCACCGTAAATGGGGTCTGCTTTGGGGGAGGGGAAATAGGGGCAATGGGGAGCAAGGTGACAAATCTTCACTTCAATCTACGCTTTGATCTTTTGAATCTTGTCTGGTGCTTATACATACTTATAATAAAATAAAAAAATATTTCAAAAGTAACTTTCCTCAACGTTTGTGCCCCAAAGGACACCAGCAAGAAAGTGAAAGAAAAACCCACAGAATGGGAGAAAATATTTGCAAATCATAGATCTGATAAGGGTTACCCAGAAGACAGAAAGAAATCTTAAAACTCAGCAATAAAAACACAAATGACCAACTTTTTTTTCACGAGCAAAGGAGTTGAACAGACGTTGCTCCGAAAGAAATATACCATGGGCCATAAAGCTCGAGAAAAGTTGCCTAACGTCATTAGTCATCAGGGAAATGCAAATCAAAACCACGGCGACATGCCACTTCACCTCTGCTGGGATGGCTGGAGGCCAGAAGACAGACAAGAAGGAGTTGGAGCAGAGGGGGACACCGTGGGGCCTCTGGCGCGGCTGGTGCGGACAGAAACGGTGCGGCCCCCGTGGAGAACAGCCTGGCAGTTTCTCAAAAGATGAAACACAGAATTCCCGTGCGACCCGCAGCTCCGCCCCGAGGTGTCAGCGCGGGAGAAATGGAAACACGGCAGCATCATTCACAAACCCCAAAAAGGGGGAAGAACCCACATGCCTGTCAACAGGTGATGGACGTGCACACGGGTCCATCCACATGCTGGAATATTACGCTGCTGTGAAAAGGAGCGAGGCCCTGACACAGCCGCACGTGGACGGACCTGCACACGCGACGCTCAGG